TGGAGTCTGCAGGTAAGCAGGGGTTTGGCTGACCAGCCTTCTGCACGTAGCTTTTCCTTGTGGCTCTTCGTGCAGTCTAGTTCAGTAATTCTTAAACCTTACCATACCAGGTTGTAAATAAAAAAACCCACATGGTCTTGATGTAATGGGTGATTTAAGAGATTTTTCAAGGAAAATTTGACAATACCATTTGGAACCCATTCCCTGCTTAAGAGTGAATTCCACAGCTTTATAAATAGGTGCTTTATAAAGTACTTGTATTTTATATAGCAGATATGAAAATATTACATAACTGGTCTTTTATATATATTTATATATATAATATATATAGGTAATTCACAGGGTGGTATGTATACTGTTGATCTTACATGAATGATTTTGTATTTTTAATTTTTTTTACTCTAGTTACTAGCTATTAATTTAATATATATTAGAAAAAAATATACTGAACCAATCAAACCTGTATTCCAGGAATATTATTGTTTTAACAGGGTTAAAGAAGTTACCATATTTTATTGCTTCTAAGACACATCTTTTTTCCCATCTATCTTGTCTGAAATTGGAATGTGTTTAAAATTGTCATTATCTGTTATCTAGTAGCATTGTTTCTTAATGGTCCATAAAATACTGTGTGTCTTATATAGTTTTCAGTGTCTCATTCATGAAATAATTATATAAATTTAAGTTATAAGTCATTTTAAAGGAAATCTTTAACTCATAGTTCATGTAAATGTGTGAATGTAGCAAAAATCTTGAAGATGATACACAAATGGTTGAGGTTTGATTAACAGTGAACGAGTTTGATGTATGTAGTTTTATATTTGCAATTAGTTGTGAGCATTTTCCTGTTTCACTATTCAAGGGCATTTTTAATGGCTATATAAGTCAAGTAGATGTATCATAATTCACTTAAACCTTTCCCTTACTGTTAAATGCTTCGATTATGTCCAGTCATATTTTTATCAAAAATACCTCTTTTTTTTTTTTTTTACCAAGCCATAAAAGTATCAAATTAAACTGAAATATTGGCAAGTTTTAAATAAGTTAACAGGTGAAAGAGAAATGTCTGTGATGAGTTGTGAATAAGACCCTTCCTATGGAGTTTTACCCATATATTCCCAAGGAGTCTTTCAGATACATTACAAATACTAGACTCCTTGAAAAAAACTAATGGGAGGAATCCCCATTATCCACATATTTTATTTTATTTTTTATGTTTTAAATATTGTATTTATTTATTCATGAGAGACCCAGAGAGAGAGGCAGAGACCCAGGCAGAGGGGGACGCAGGCGCCCTGCGGGGAGCCCGATGCAGGACTCGATCCCAGGACCCCGGGGCACGCCCTGGGCCCAAGGCAGACGCTCCACCGCTGAGCCCCCGGACGGCCCATCCACCTGTTTTAATGCCAGACATTCATTTGACTTTCCCATAGTCTGGTGCCAGCAATCCTCAGGTGAACCCCTGGTGCTCCTCAGAGGATGTCCGTTTGGTTCCTGTCGTGAAATGTCTACGTTTCAGGGAAGTGACCACTTCAGCGACAGGGTAGCAGCCGGCCCTCGCATGACCAGGCTCAGTTCTCCAGGCTTGTACTTGGGGTGCGCAGGTCTCACCGCCCAGGGAGGCGCGTGTTCTCCTAGTCCCATTTCCAGAGGCCTTCACAGGCCCAGTAGGGCCGCAGTCCCCAGGGCCACAGGCTCCGCGGGCGGAGCTGGGGAGGGAGCCCTCTGGCCTGCCGGTGCTGGCTCGGGAGGAGGAAGGGACTCCGGCTAATGGCGGTTGAGCTTGTGTGGGTCGTTCCCACGCCGGGATAGTTGCTGCCCGGGAGGCCCTAGGCAAAGGTTAAGGACAGCGTGAGACAGGAGGAGGGCAGGTGATTACATGTACTTTGTTCTTTTTGATTCATCTGCCCAGATCTAAGCGGTTCTGAACTCTGCTGAAGTGTAGACCCTCCAAGAGAGGAGCGCTGCTCTGCGGAGGCCGCTGTGTGTCCACTGTGGAGCTGCATGTATTCTGAAGCGGTCCGGGGTGTCCGCCCAGTCAGGGTGCCTCCCTTCAGGACGGAGGAAAGCGGAGCGGAGGCGCTGTCCTGGGCCGCGAGCAGACCCCACTGACAGCAGGTGCTTCGCTGCAGGGTAGAGTCCTGACTGCTCTAAACCCGCACGGCGACCGGCGCAGGGTCGTACCCACGGACTTACCACTTCAGGATGCACCGGAGGCGGTGACCCCTGTAGTCCCCCAGGGTCCACTCACGTTCCTACCCTTTCTTCGGTCGTCCCTAAAAAGTTCATAAAAGGGCTCTAATTCTGTAGGTCCTGAACTGCACCTCAAACAGTAGAAGCCACTGGAAGTTCATTTCAGGATATACCTTTTGGAAGCTAGAAGTAAATCACAGGAAAGCAGCCTAATATTTCATGTTTTACTCGGATTTGTTTGATTTTGCTGATTTTATATAAAGCCTGTGTTTCTTTCATGTCCTTGAGAATATATTTTCAGGACCTTATCATCATGGTGAACATTTTTTTTTTTATTCCTTTGTAAGCCCTACTCCAGTAGCTTGAGACGGAGACCGAATGAGTTCAGATTGAGCCAAAAGTGACATTTAGGATCTATGACATTTAACTTCTTCCAGCAACATGACAGGAAGTCTCCACATTTGAGTACTCAGAATTTATTTTTTTTCTGTTAATGATTTAAGTAGCAACGATCCGCTTCAATCGAATTCTCGTGTAAAAAATTGTCAGTTTTACCTTAAGTCATTATAAATTCTTTATGTATCATCCAAAATGTAAGTAATAAAATTTTCAGAATAATTTCTAGTTTGGAAACGGCTTTACATGTAAAAGTGACAGCCAATGTGTAAACTTGATAGAGTTGAATTTTTAATGTTTATTCTGATGTTTTGTGTTTTCAAGCTCTAATGTGTTATTTCCATGATCAGAGCTGTCAGCAAATGAGAGAGGAATTGTTTCAGGTAGAACGATCTTAATTCTAGAAGACGCAGGTCTTCTAAACCGAGTATCTAACATGACCATTGTGTGTGTCGTCCCCTCTCCTCCTGGGTGTCTCCAGTCCCCGTTTTAACTGCCCTACATACTGGTTGTTGAAATGGACCAGGCTTTTCAGTTAAATTCTGTCTTAAATAGTATTGGTTCTGTTCAGATGGATCATCTGGTAAATCATTTCCATTAGCAAGTATTTTTTCTTTGCTATAAAAATTACCCTTACATGTTTATTTTTGGTAAATATAAATTGTATTTTCCAGTTATTGTCATTAGCCGAGAAAACAGGCTGAAGTGCCTGCAAGTACATAGTCTAACGTGGTGTCAGTTAAAGAAGTGTAAGAAGTATCTCTGAAAGTAGTTGACTCAGCATCATAAAAAGTTGGCTGATTAAGTGATTTGAGAAACTTTCATTAAAATAAAAGCTTCACAAAGGGACTTAAGTTTTGTTCACTGCATTATTTCAGCATCTCGAAGTTTGCCTGGCACATTAGAGGCATTTGATAAATTGTGGGTAGTTGGACAGGTACGTGGATAAGGGACCAAAGGACTATGAAACCACCTGAGTCCACGCGCTGAATTATATACAGTCACCCTGTGGAGCCCAAAGGGTATTAAATAGTAGCTGAAGAAAACTTTTTGAGTTGAAAGAATGGAAAGCCCTAGAAAACGGATAGTAGCACTCAGGTTGGAAGGAAATAGCACAGGCAACATCACGGATGTAAGGAAGAGCGAACACAGGAGCAACAAAGTTCCTGTTAATAGACTAGAGAATAAAGTATATTGATAAAGTGGGGTTATGTTGTATTTTTTTAAGTTTTTTTTTTTTTTTTTTTTTTTTTTTTTTTTTTTAAGTAATCTCTACACTCAACATGGGGCTTGAATTTACCAACCTTCAGAAGTGGCATGCTTTTCTAACTAGCCAGCAGGGCGACCCTGGGCTGCATTATACTTCTAAAAAGGGAACGTAGAAGTTAAGGTCAAAAAGGAAAACCAGGAAAAAAAATAAAAGTAAGTAAATAAATAAATAGGAAAACCAGGGCTCCAATGTCGTGACTCTTCTCTTCTTTTGAGTCATGGACCATTATGAAAACCTGGTGAAGAGATGGTCCTCCGAACAAAATGCACACATGCGCTCACACTTGCATAGAGAACTTTGTATATTAATGCAGGAAATTCAAAGACTCCTTGAACCATCTCTAGTTCTATTCTATCCTAAGAGTTGAGGCTATACTTGATTTCTGCTTCCAGTTGTCATCACTTCGGGAGTCAGAAATGATCCAGTATTAACTTATTTGCATACTAAGCTTAACTCTTTTGTTATGTTTAAATACGGAGTGTTCAACTTTTTTAATGACACCTTGGTTTTTTTGTTTTTGTTTTTGTTTTGTTGTTGTTCGTTGTTTTTAGCTTCCTTCAGTATAGTTTATTACCACCCCTGTTGTAAATACACGTCAGAAGTAGTAAAAATAATTGCCAGATGAATGGATAGGGTAATACTTTGGAGAACTAAAGCTGCCTTAGTTTAACAACAGTTCTGTGACCCTGGGCTGGAGGCTGGAAGAGAAGTGCCAGAGGATCAAACTTAACCAACTCAGAGATGTAATTAAAATATATTAACCAAGTCAGTATTCAAATTTATTATTTCGTTGAAGCTTTGAAGGCAAGAACTGCTTCTACTCTTTAGGGATCTCTACTCATTCTAGATCTACAGCTTCATAAATAATTACAAATTGCTATTTGCTAGGTAGTTACAGCTAAACATTATGAAACATGTCTATTTGCATTTTTCAATAAAATTTATTTTCTATCAGATGGGAACCATTGTATCTTATAAACTCTTCTATTTTCTAAGGTAAATGAGGTATAATTCAAAATTAAAAATAAAACTAGAATTGTGTTTTTCTTCTTTAAGGTTTAATGCATGTGCACAATAAACTTGTGGATCCACTATACAGTATGAAAGAAGGAAATTGAAGGAGATTGGAGCAAAACTCTGCTTGAATGAACAGAACACTTTTATAAGTAGTAGATGAATTTTCAGCTATGCAATATGCTAAAACATGGGAATTTTTTGAAGATCATCATTTTTGAAGTCCAATATCTGTTAAACATTCCATATTTAGAATGTGTCCATTTTATACTAAGATTTAGGAGAAATAGTTGGCTCTCACAAACAGCTGTTTATTATAAAGTACAGAAGCCACAGAGCCACTCTGTAAAACATCACAGAAATGAAATGTTTAAAAGATTTCAAGTCATTTTACATACGAAGAATCTACACATCAAATATCGTTCGTATGAATCCGGTGGCTTTCTCAGAGTTTTATTTTTTAATTACATTAAGACACTCCAAGCCTTTCAGATATCTTAACAATCATTGCAGACCTTTACTTTTGGAATGTAATCTTTGTATTTTCTGTACATTACACACAAGCTTTTCTGCACGTGGTTGCCTTAGTCATCTTTCTGCAGTAGCATCTGGACATCAAAAGTCCTGCTAGATATTGTTGGAACAGAAAATCTGAAGAGAGGACAGTGCCTAAAAGTACAGTTTACGTCCTTTGGGAAAGTCTGTATAAGTGCATGATTTTTGTGCACCACCTTCTTCTATAGCACTTTTTTACAAATGTGCTTTTATTTTTTATTTAATGACTTGGGTTCATGCTTTTAATATAAGTATTTTGGCAGTTATGAACTTTATACCTAGCAACACACTTAAATTCTTTTGAAGACAATTTTCTGATTATTGTTACTTCATAAATGATTAGCTTTATTCCTTATGTCTAAAAGGATTACATGAAGTATATATAAAAGGAATTACTGTAAACTTTGCCATTAACAACTTGCATCATTAAATTGCAAATAAGAGTATATTGTTTTCTATCTTTAACTCAAATAAAGCTTATAATAAACAAATGTTACCTAAATTTTATTTCCAGAAGTAAAAACGAATACATGTATCTGAGATATTCCAACATTAGTAGTATTGATTTTGCATTTACTTTGTTGCCATCATGCATTTAGGAGATATAAGTTAAAAAGACAATAATTTTACCTATGGTTTCTTAGACACTCCTTGGGGAGTAAAAATACTCTCCCTTCAGCATATTTTGCATCTTACAAGCCCATCCAGAAGCATTACTTTAACTGAAATGTGATTGAAATGTATTTACAATTAAGTTCCTTGACATATTTAAATAACAAATAAAAATTAAAAATGAAACTGTTGGTATAAAATGTTCCTTTAATTCCAAATAATGTAGTTCTAATTGCCTGGTTATAAATGGTCTTTAAATGACTATTAAGTCATATCGTCTTCCAGTCACACAGCTGGTAATAAAGAACTGGCTACTGGGCAATGCCCTGTTCATCTTAGGAAGTCACAGTGTGATCCTGAAAATGCTAAACATAACTTTTGGTGCATGATTCACTGTATTTCTGTGCTTTAAATGTGCTAGCTCAAACACAGTTTAGCAGATTTCCCATCACTAACCTTCATGTCAGGGGGCTAGTTGAGTTGTAGGTCCAAGTGCCCAAGCTCCTGGGCAAACTGATCTCCAGCCACGCTAGCTCCCTAGCTCAGAGGCTACTGGATTTCCACACGGCAATGAAGCCTGGTGGCTAAGTACGGGTACGGTTTGGATTAAAAACAGCGAATCCCAGCTTTGTCAGTAACTGGCACTGGCCAGGTCTAAAGTCTGTGCTGCCCGCCCAGGTGACAGATGGTGGTGGTACCTTGACGCCTGGGAGCTCAGGTCGGCGGCTGTCACGTGGTATACACCCCAGAAGTGGTGGCTACTCAGGTCCTCGTGTAAATTACTGTAGTGTTGGCAAAAGTCTTAGTATTGGTCCTCGGGGAGTATACTTAGCACACAACTCTAAATCATGAAAATCATCTGTCTGGGAGCGTGGTTCAGGGGGAGAACTTAAACTCCTACTACAAAATCTGAAAACTACATTTATCACTACAAGTAAAACTGCTTCCTACAAAGTCAGGATAAAGGAAAGAGAACTAAATCTGTCCCAATTCTACACACGCTAATAGAGCACAGAGCTTAACAGCAGAAACGTGGTGCATACTTAGTACCAGGTACCAACTTACAACCCTCTCCTGACAGTCACAGAACATCCTGTCTTAGACGTGATCTGTAAATGCTCTTCTGGTTTCAAATATACCACACAAAATACAAATACAATATTGTATTTTGTAATACAAAATACAAATATTGTTATGAAATCTCCTATTTTATCTATTACAGCTAGGGGGGATAGGGAAGGTACCTGAGATCAGAGGTAGGATGAAATCAGGGTTAACACAATTTTTTTCAAAGATTTTATTTACTTATTTGACACAGCACGTGCACAAGCAGGGGGAGCGGCAGGGAGAGGGCGAAGCAGGCTCAGGGAGCCTGACGTGGGGCTCGATCCCGGGGTCCTGGGATCATGACCTGAGCTGAAGGCAGACACTTCACCACTTAACCACCACTCAGGAGCCCCTTCTGTACACAATTTTAAGTAAATCCCACTATCTTATAGTTACAATATTCACAATGTAATTACCTTTGTATAAAATGCATTGTAGGGAAGCCTGGGCAGCTCAGGGATTGAGCATCTGCCGTCGGCTCAGGCTGTGGTCCCAGGGACCTGGGATCGAGTCCCACATCCGGCTCCCTGTACAGAGCCTGCTTCTCCCTCTGCCTGTGTCTCTCACAAATAAATATTTTTTAAAAATGCATTGATAATCTTATCTCTAAAAGACATTTACTTAATTCATTCAAGGTAGAGGACAAAATTCAATGGCTAAATTACGTATCTTCTGGTAATACAACCTGCCATCTGGTTTGTTCACTAACCGGGTGAATGGAGTGAAGAGTACATACATGCTTTGAAACATGACAGCCATTTATGGGCTGTGTGATATCAAGTAGCTTAATACTTAAAGCTCAGTCTCAATTACAACATCTGGAAATAATTATTAAACTGCCATTAATAACAGCTGCTGCTAATACCAGACACCTATCACTTTGCACCAAATGTACCTTAATTATCAAAATTAAGACAGCCCCTATCCTTAATTTAGATGTGAATATAATAAACTCTTTCAGACATTTATAAAAAATTAAACAAAAACTAGACAGCACATGTCCAGCTAGTATGGTATTTGACTTTAATAACTGACTCGTGAGGCACCTGGGGGGCTCAGTGTTTGAGCGTCTGCCTTCAGCCCAGCACGTGATCAGCCCGGGAGTGCCTCTCTCTGTCTCTCCGGAATAAAATCTTTAAAAAAAAAAAATCACTGACTCCCTATAAATCTGATTTTATCCAGCTAACAACAAACTGATACTTAAGATGATTTTGAAAATACTTTATCTTAGGCTTGAACTAGATAGAATCTTAAGTATGCTGAGCCTCTTAGTGTAAGAAAAAATATGCGTGAAAACAAAATAGTTAAAATTCACTCAGCACTTACTATTGTGTCATACACTCTTCAGAGTATTTTATTTATTTTTTTTAAAGATTTTATTTATCCATGAGAGACACAGAGAGAGACGGGGGAGGGGGGGGCAGAGACACAGGCAGAGGGAGAAACAAGCTCCACACAGGAATCCCGACGACGTGGGACTTGATCCCTGGTCTCCAGGATCAGGCCCTGGGCTGAAGGTGGCGCTAAACCACTGAGCCACCCGGGGCTGCCCTCTTCTGAGTATTTTAAACATACTACCTGATACAATCTTCACAGCAGCCTTGGGAGGTAAATTACAGTATAATCCTGATTTCACTAAGGAGTAAAGTAATAATTTACCTTGGGGAGTGATTGGAACAGAAATTTAAAACCAGGCAATATGGTTTCAGAAGCCAAGCTCATATCCTGCCACCTCTTCCTTTTCAAAGAGCTAATTGATTATTTAAACCTAAAAATACTGAAACCAACAAATTTTATACTTTTCATTCTGTTGTCAACATATAGATTACTAAGTAAAATGAAAAGATTCACAAGTTTTAATTTATGAAAATTCATTTTTTTCCCCACAATTATTTATCAGATTGTGTTCTCAGGACTTTTATAAAAGCATCTTTTGGAACTTCAATGTTGCCAATTTTCCTCAGTTTTTTCTTTCCTTCTGCTTGTCTCTTCAAAAGTTTCATTTTTCGGGTAATATCACCACCATACTGAAAAATATTTTTAAAAATTGGAAGTCCAAATCACTCCACAGAAAATTAATCATGTAAGAGGCATAATACAATTATAATGACCTTACAATTATTACCCACGAGGCAGACGTCTGCAAAGTCACCTTTCTAACCTCCTCCAGAGCAGATCATAATTTAACATCTTCTCAAAGAATGATAAAGACTTTTATTTTTTGGGTGGAGAGGAAGATCACGAGGAAACCCCATGACATGTTATCATGTCAAAAAGAATTATCAATCTTCTTACTGACTCAAGTCTTAAGATTCTGGATGATGTAGCTATAGACTAATAAACTCACACAGCCCTAAGTGTGCCAGTCCCTACAATAAAGATTTAGAAAAAGCATCTACCATTTATTTCTCATAAGTGAGTTAAGAACTATGAGACCACAAATTCAACAAAGCAATGTAGGAGAGGTGGATTTCAAACTGTCATACTCTTCACACTTAAGACACAGTCATTGTCTTCAAAATGTCTCCTTATAAATTACATCAATGACACATGTTATCCTGGTCGTAACCATTATACTTCACTGGGTAGTACTTCATATAAGGACATTTTTATAAATAAGATGGAAAAACAAGAATTTATCAAAATGAGTATGTTATCAGCCAAGCTGAGATTTACCTATTCAAAAGAAAACTAGAGATGAAATGGTTATTTAAAAAAAAACATGGAAACCGATTTATTGATGCCCCCCTTTGATTTTAAACTCTTGAAATAAATATATTATTACAAAGTAGAATACATACACATTTTGCCAAAACGTTTTTCCTATAGGCTTTCACACTGTAAAAAAAAAAAAAAAAAAAAGGAGATTTACATAAAAATTACATAATTTTAACACTCTTTAAAAGAATTTTATTTTCAAAAACAATTTCCACTTTACTAAAGATTTAAATGATCGTGCCATACTGAGTAAAACGGATATAAACAAATAGGTAGCTCAAATGCTCTTGTATCTATTTTCATGTATTTGACATAAAAGAGAAAATGAATTCAACATGAATATCAACATAAATTTAAGAATAAAAAAAGGTCAAGGCTTGTGGGTAGTCCTGATTAGGCCAAATTCAATAGTATGATCTTAATTTTAAGAATTATACAAGGTCATGTCTGGCTCAGCCTAAAACTGTTCCTACCACTACTACTTCCAAAAAGTTTTAAACACGGTTATCATCGCATTACCAGCTCTACCAAATATGCATTAAGACAGACTTGGAAATAAAGAATGTATTACTTTTGTAAAACCCTTTTCAGGGCAAATGAAATAATTCTAATAAATCCACCCAAGCAAATGCAAACTAATCTATTTCTATGGTGTTTCTAAGAAATTTGGAAGAAATTTGAAAAAAGTTCCTTTTATATGTATTCCATAAGAAGAGATAAAAATCTAATTTTTTTCTGTAAGGATTCTTCTACCTCCACACGCTGAGGTTAGAGTCATTTGCTACTTTCAACTGCACCTTCCAGGATGTTCCCTGGTGATCCGTTCCAGTCTGCCTAAGCTCTGGATATTCATGCAACTCAAAACCATTAACTAAAGCAAAATCGTGCTAAGAAATGAAAGTCACTGCAAACATAGGCATAAAATTTATCCCAAAACTATGTAAAAACGGTGGTTGTAATTTCACCATTACTGATACGTGTAGGTTTGGGTTTAAACTACACTAAATGGCAGTTTCCAGCAAGGGAACACTTCCGACTTCCCAGAAATCAAGGAAACATGCTACAAGGTATTTCCTGCACTTAACTGTTACTGGTAGAGCAGCTTGTGTTCTGATTTATACATATCACATCTCTCATAAAAAAGACCAAGGTCCTACGTGAATCAGCCTATCTTCCATTTCTACTATATGTCACACAATCAATGTACAATGCAAAGCTCAACATATTAGCATTCCTCTGCCCGTCATCTTTCCGATTTCTAATTTGGCTACTTCTGAGAAGTGATATTAAGTGCTTTAAGTAAAAATCGTAATTTAGGGGCCCCTGGATGGCTCAGCTGATCAAAAGTTGACCTTAGGCTCAGGTCATGACCCTGGGGTCCTGCTCAGCGGGGAGCCTTCTTTTCCTCTGCCTGAAGCTCTTCCAGCTTGTGCTCCCTCTCTGATAAACAAATAAAATCTTTAAAAAAAATAATTTAGTTTTGTCTTTTGGAAGAGTAGCTCCAAAAGTTTTTTCTAAAGCTTCTTAAAAAGTTTCAGTTGCTATTAGCTATACTTACCTAGGAAATTCAGTGGTCATTCAATAAAATGAGTGGAAATAAAGCAATTCTTCAAACCCATGTCCATTATATCAATAATTCTAAAAAATACCACTCAGAACTAACAATTATTAAAATAATTTATATTTTAATATAAAATATTTTATATTTTAATATATTAAAATAACAGTGCAATTTAAGTAAATAACAATTATCACTTAATTAAGTGGAATTAAAATAGATTAGTGTTTCTACAAGTAGGAATAAGGCTTAAACCAATGTGAAGTTAAATTTTTTAATATCACTTCATAATATAGTTCTACTCCTATCATTTCCAACCATTTATTCTAAAACAGAAAACAAAAATAAATTTCAACTCACGTTTCTCTTGCAATGATTTTACTTCCAATAGCAGCTTGAACTGCTATCTCAAACAGCTGCCTAGGAAGAGAATCCTTAAGACGTTCACATATGACTTTGCCAACAGAGTGTGCTTTGTCTCTGAGAGAGAAAATGTAACTATTTACATATCCTAAATACAAATATTTACAGTACTTTTCTAGTACATACACATAAATAGATGTAAAGGTGATTTCTTAAAGAGGTTCAAATGGGAACTCAACTGCCATAAATATCCTTTACTTTGAATCATGACTTTTCTGATTGAAAAATATACCTATTACAGGAAATGTAGGAAAACAAATCATTCTTGCTACCATTCCCCTCACCATAGAAAGCCAATGTTAAACATTTTAGAATGTGTGTTAAATATATATGTCCTTCCAGTTACTTTCCTGCATAAGTTTATTTACAGTTTGAATCATAGCATATGTCTATTTTTTATTGAATAGGCATTTTAATGTCATTAATATTACTTTACAATATAATTTTAATACCTTAAGATTATTAAATAGGTGCTCCATTATTTATTTTTATCAATCTACGTGTTGTATATGTAGGATATTATATTTTTCATTATCAATTTTTTATGAATATAAAAATTTTTTTGTTTTCAATTTTAAATCCAACACAAAGTTTAAAACCATTTCTTCTACTTTGCCTTACCCTGAGTGGGAAACATTTCTTTCCATGACACTATTCTTTTTGGCTATTGTAATTCTATTCTTTCATATTTAACAGTTTGGAAAGAGAAGCATGGGAAAAGAATGGAAGGAAAAACTAGTACAAGGAAATTTAATTACTTTTAAGTGTTTAAACTGTAGCTCTCAAATAAAAATAAGCAAGCAATGACTAAATAAAAACATGTCAAAACTGGTTCCTTTCACATTCCATGATTAGTTTCTATTCAACTTACTTGTGTACAATAGTCACTAGCTCCTCTACAATATTTCCATTCAGTAGAATATCCATTTTTACAAGCTCTGCAGTCTGGTAGCCCGCATCTTCATAATCAAAACTAACAAGGAAAAACATCCAAGTGATAGATAAACATACTTCCCAAGAGACTATTATTTTTCTTTGCAAAGTAGATTTTTTTCTACCCATCCCCATATCCCCCCACCCAAAGATATAACTTTCTATCAAAATATTAAATATACATTTCACATGAACAGATCTAGATGACTACAGTGAGGAAGTCCCTCAACGTTTTACATTTATGAAATGAAAGGCAAAAGCAAGAGGAAAATAAAATGGTAAGCAAGTCTAGGAAAATGGGACACTGAAGACAAATGTCACCTTCTTCCCAGTGTTTCCTCCCAAGAGCTGGGGGGCTGTAGACAACAGCATATATTCACAGCTCATTCGCAGAGATTACGTGTGGGCTTCTGTTTAGCTTTCTATTACCAGTTAAGTAAATACTATGCCCTGTTAAAGGGTCACTATAAATAAGACTTTCGGATTTCACCTACTACTCTTCAGTTTGAATCTTCATAGAGCTTTTTTGGGGATGAAATGAGTGAATGCATGTAAAGCACTGAAATAGTACCTGATACAAAAAAAAGTGTTCAGAACACAGCCTCGCAAGCAAATAGCACTTCATTAGCATCAGCTATTAAACAATATAGTCAAAGCTTAGAATGCTAATCAAAACAGGTTTAACTTACAAAACTGAAGTCTAGTGAGAAGGAAAACTTCATGCTTACATGTTTTTTCAATTATGGATTAGAACATGTATGGCCTAAATTGTCTTAAATTTTAAAACAAACTGATGCCAGAGCACCTGGGTGGCTCCGTGGTTGAGTGTCTGCCTTCAGCCCAGGTCGTGACCCCAGGGTCCTGGGATAGAGTCCCACATTGGAGCCTGTGTCTCCCTCTGACTCTGTCTCTGCCTCTCTGTCTCTCATGAATAAATAAAATCTTAAAAAAAAAAAAAAAAGAACAACAACAAAAAAAACCCTGATGCCTAGAGCTGGAAATGTTTGGTTTCTAAGCTTTTATAGGAGGAAGGTCACAAGTTGATACTAATACTCTTTAAAGCCAGACTACCTAAAGTTTTGCTAAAATCCTTTCTTCAACAAACATTAGGATTTACTATATGAAAGATATCTTAAGTACTACGCAGAACACAAAGATAAAATCTACACATAGGACCTAGATTTCACCTGTTGACAATGTTAAAATGTTGTGTGCTCCAAAATTTTAGAATTTCTTCACTCATTTTTTTCAAAAGAAACCATTATACAAACGTTGTCTGTGTTTCCAAGCTGGCTATATGGAAACCTAAGCTCTGTTCAAAAGTTATTCATTCCAGTGTACAACACATTGAGGAATGCAGGAAACACATTTAGGAGTCTGAAAGGCTACCTGGGGGTTTAAAGACAAACAGCTCCATCAAACTTCTGACCCAGCAGCACAAGAGTCTTGAAACTTGTTCTAAGAGAAAATGTTCCTTATCTCAGTCCAGGAGGACTGACTATGGTCACAGACTATGATGCATTTTTATTAAGTTAGGAACTGACTACTTAACAGAAAGATCCATCCTGAACGTAAGAATCACCTTAATCCTGGAAGCTGGCATTCTTTTATTGTTACAGAGTTCAAACTTAAGCAAGCTCTCTCATTTAATCTGAAGTATGTTTAAGTTTCTAAGCTAAAAGATTTTAGGACCACTTAATTCATAAAGTGGTATCTAAATGTGAATATGACTGACAGACTTGGTTAGAAATGTTTGTAAACATTTAGCTTAGTCATTGTTCTTTCAACTACAACTGCTTTTTAACAATTCATCTTCCTCTAAATCCCACTGCCACTTATTTGCTTACATTATCAGAAAGAAGACATGGGAGAAAAAAAAAGGGGTGACAAAGTAGAAAAACTAATTCCTCAATACAAACACAAAGGATACTCCTTTGTAACCAGTTAGGATGACTCTTTCATTATAAAGCTCATTTTATAAAGCTGAATTTCCAGGTCACTGTAGCCCAGTCTCTGAACACTGGAATTCTTCTTTGAATATTAATGTTAAATATGCCTGCACATGTGTGCAGATGCACGTGTATTTTATAGATGGGAATGGTCATTTTCCCATCTACTTCCCCAGCATATTTCATATTTTCTTTATATTCCCATATATGCTATCCAGTAACGTAAGATTTTAGGACACTGTGGGCAGCTAGAGTTATTTACCCCAACATAAAATACTCCCCAAATGCTATGTTTTGAGTTGTTACTTAGTATTACACCTTCCTCCACTTCTATCAGGCAGTTCCCCCCATGTACTCCTGGTTTTCATAAAGTGGACCACTTATTCTGGAAAAGATCAACAAGGTATTAAAGTGCTCACAGATCCAGGGGCACACCTCACATTTTTTACAGACTAAATATGTACGTCTGTTTCCCAAATATATTCTGGTGCTCCTAGGAATACAGAAGACACAAATACATTTCAAATGTGCCACTGAGACCACAGCAGCTTTCTGAAATCACATATAATTTTTAACAGGGGAGTATACTCTTTCATGAAGAAGACACTATAACTTTTTTATTAAAAGAAGGGTAAGGGGCAGCCAAGTGGCTCAGTGGTTTAGCACCGCCTTCAGCCCAGGGCGTGATCCTGGAGACCTGGGATCGAGTCCCACATCAGGCTCCCTGCATGGAGTCTGTTCTCCCTCTGCCTGTGTCTCTGCCTCTCTGTGTGTGTCTCTCATGAAGTAGTAAATAAATTCTTAAAAAAAAAAAAGAAGGGTAATGGTTTGATGAGTTGAAGAAGCTTGTTCTTCCAAAGCAAATTATGAACACTCTAACACTTACAAGGTTGTTCCAAGCCTTTCTATCCTTGGAGTTGTTTCTCCACTATTTTCAAGAGAACAGAGATTATTAAATGAGCTGAGAATTAGTATACTCATGTTGGTCAATATTTCAAAAGAATTGTCCAGGTATCTGAACTTCTTGTTAAATTTTTACCTAGCATATCCAGAAGACAGGGATTTCAAGGAATCATAAAAATCCACCACAATTTCATTCAAAGGGAAGAGGTATTTAAGCATAACTCTATTTTGATCAATATACATCATATTCTTCTGAACTGCTCTTCGAGCCTAAAAAAGAAAAAAAAAAGTGTACTTAATGATGAACCTATTTAAATGATTTACAATGAATATAGAAAGCTGTTAATTACCAACTTAAAAATTCCCTTACAGATCCTAATAAAGAGTAGGCAAAATGAAGGAATATTTACTGGTCTACTAAAAACTTGCAGACAATACTTGTAATACAGAGAGAACTATTTCATACTTCAATTGTAACATATTTAATAACAAAGCTTTAAATCTTTTATCTTTAATAATTTTATTTTTAAAATTATACAGTATTTAATGATAAACCAAATACAATTACAGATAATGTCAAAGTTCTAACTTCTTGTTTTACAAATACTTAGGTCCGAAGATATTAAGTAAATGGCCAAAGTTTTCTAGTTTGTGTTTACAGAATTAAAATCCAAATCCACTAATACTCACTTAACAGTTCTTTCCTATAGGCATCGGAATATTTCAAATAGTTTTTTGAGGATGATTTGTGGATTAAGTCATTTATTACAGCATGGCAAAACTAAGACAAAAGGGAGAATATCCACCCTTTAGTCAAAAGTCTCAAATATTACAGTTATCTTTCCAACTATCTTCAATTCCAAAAAAATCATTCTTTTAGCTAGTCAGTACAAATAAGCATCAAACTTTTCTTTGGGCTGTCAACTCAGTAAATTAACACAGATGACAAAAATTCTGGTTCTATTTTTCTTATTAAACTCAAAACTGATTTTAAAAGTATCTATTTCATATAATAAATATACACGCGTGTAGACATAGATCTTTACGGAAACTTCTTACAAATTTAATGTGCTTTACAGAGAGAAAACTTTCAAAACCTCAGTGGGAAACCACTGTTGGAACTAAAATTTACTTTTATATTAAATTATATTACACTTGTACCTGGCAAAGCATCATTACTTTTCCAATATATTCATCTGGTGTGATGATGGTACCCAAAACAACAGGCTCCAAATATTCTGTAACTTTTGATTTATCAGGGAATTGTGCAGGATTGATGATAGTAATTTCCTTTTCTCTGTATTCCTAAAAATAAGAAAAATCATCAAAAGCTTAAAAAAAATCTTAATTACCCTGTTTTAAAATTGGCTTTTAATTTACAGTAAATATTAGAATTTATAATAATTGCATCTGTTGAATAAAAACAAAAGAATTCCTAAAGGTTAGACTATTATCTTAACAAGCTTAAATTTTAAAAACCATACAACTATAACCACTTAATAGCAATTTTATTAAATAACATCTGCTGGACATTTACTAAACACATCTCATGTACCACTCAGAAAAAAATATGTAAAAGGACATTTTAATCTGCCTCTTATAGGGCATTAGCATAGTTTCCTAAATTAACTTTGATAGAAAATATTTACAGATGTTAAAGTTAAAATTTGTTTAAACTGAATTCACTGCAATTCAGATGCAATACAATACTGTCTCTGTCATTAGCTTGAAATTTGAAATTTCCTATAGCCAGGTAGCAATGACTGCTTCACTTTTCGTAAGATAAATTACTTATGACCAAAATTATATTCTTCATTTTTGTACTGGGTTTAGAACAGCATTTTAATTACTAATTCTATTTTTTTATTCTCAGTAACAGGTTAGTTTTGACAATATACAGATTTCTAACAGGTTAAGAAAAATACTGCATTAATTAGTTCTCAAGTGGCTTCTCCATTATTAGTCATAAAGTAATTCCATTTTTAATGCTACTAATCAAGAAATAGTTCATGTAATAACTAAGTTAATGGTGTACAAAAGTTTCTCCTGCATTTTGCGCGCGCGCACACACACACACACACACACACACACACACTTTTTGGTTTTCCCTTGTATGTTGGTTGACAACAGTACCTTTATCAATTTTGCTGATGAAAGAACAGCTTTATATGGAACAGTAGGGGTTGTCAAAATTACAGAAGCATTATATTCTTGCTCTAGTCGCTGGTTGAAAACTTCCATATGCAAAAGTCCAAGAAATCCCAACCTGGGGGGAGAAAACGTCAAACTCCAAAATGTGTATTTCATGGGCCCTGGTTTATTTGATGAACATAGTGTTACTCTGTGGGGAAGGGTGGGATTAAGTCATTCCAAATAAAAAAAAGTCTAGGCACCTCGGTGGCGTAGTCGGTTAAGCGTTTGCCTCATTCAGCTCAGGTCATGATGGTGCCGCCCTGGGACCAAATGGGGCTCCCTGCTCAGCGAGGAGTCTACTTCTACCCCCTGACTGCTGCTCATGCTCTCTCGCTGTCTCTCTCAACTAAATAAAATCTTTTAAAAATCCAAATAAAAACAAAAAGTCATTCAAGCAATTCACGTCATAATTAAATGCTAGGCAGCCAGGGTGGCTCAGCGGTTTAGCACCACCTTCATCCCAGGGCATGACCCCGGGGTCCCAGATTGAGTCTCACGACGGGCTCCCCGCAGCGAGCCTGCTTCTCCCTCTGCCTGTGTCCCTGCCTCTCTCTCTCTGTGTCTCATGAATAAATAAAATCTTTAAAATAATAATAATTAAATGCTAGTAAAACTTCATTAAATAAGATTTAAAATTAAAAAAAAAAAAGAAAAACTTCTTTTGGAGTTCTACTTAAAACTGCTGTAAAGCTTTTCCATAGAGCATGAATACAGTATGAAACAGGCAGACGTTTGTTTTGGTGTGCTTTACACTAACCAAATATTCAGGAACGTGAACCACTTAAATTTCACTTTTCAATAAAAATTTGGTCCTACAGGGAGGGTAAAAGAATCTTACCTCCAGCCAGCACCTAAGGCAAGGCTACTATCGCGATGAACTGTCACACTGGAATCATTTATAGTCAGTTTTTCTACAGCACTCTTCAGATTATTATATTCAGATTGGTCTATAGGGTACATTCCTGAGGACACAATAATTTCTAATTATCACATGTCAAAATCTGCCTAAAAACCGAATATATAATGCTTCCAAGACCAAAATTAAACATTTAGCTTTTAAATTACTTCCCTATATTACAACGATCACAATAATTGGTTTACTAAGAAAACCTGAATATTAAGTTACACTGGCTTCAAAGTATCTTGCAAGTTTTAAAGCCTTAATGAATTTACAACTGGGTTCACACTCCAAGTGATGTTTTTATCCTTTTGCAAAAATATAAGGAAAATAAAAAAGAACCACGGAATTAGGCCTCTTAGAAAAATACATTATTTCAAGAAACAAAAGTTGAAGACATCCCACAACCACAAATGAAACTCCCTGAGATGAAAAGCAGAACTAGAAATGAAAACTACACTGAACCCTTCACTTTGTACGGCAGATAATCTATTAAAATCAAAGATAAGTTTTGCTTTTCTCAATTCATTGACAAAAACCAAAAAGTTAGTGATTCATCAGATCCTTTTTCATCTGATCCTCAAGTCCTCATCTCTCAAATCCTCCAAAATCCAAATGATTGACTTTGCCTAATCAAAGACAAACTTCCTAATTCCCAGGGACAGATACAAGGGGAGAAAAACAGGTGCTGGATACCAGCACGGAGTAACCTGATGACCTCCGATCAGGCCTTCCTTCCTCAAGTATGTGTCACACCACACAGCAGCGAAAGGCTGTGAAGTCCTGCACCCGAGCAGACGCACGGTCCTCTGCCACTTACACCGGTACTATACAATGTTAAAGGAAGTCCAACTAACAGGAAGGCAGCAGTAAATGTCTCCCGAGAATTAGTCATGAATGCATCTAACTTGAGAAATATTCCAAATGCAATGGCCTACCCCCGCCCCCAGGGAAACAAAAAGGAAATCCATGTCACTATGTTCTTTTACATATCAGAGAGCCCATATTTTCTAAGAAGTCCTAAAAGAAAAAAAAAAAAGTGTAGGAAATGATCTCCCACATAAAGCTTCACTATACATATGAAATTAACGGACACATAAATAGCACTCAAAAAATGAAAACAGAGTATTCTGGAATTAGCTGTTATTGAAAACGATTATTTCTGGTAATTCTTATTTCAATTTACAGAATAAGTTGTCCCTCATCCTTGAATTTGTGAGCTCCTCACCTGCAAATACCATTGGTTTCGCGGATTTAAACCCAGGCAAGGGCTCCACTGGTTGTTTATGTAAATATAATGTATCTCCTATTTGTGCTTCAGTGACATCTTTCATCCCAGCAATCAGATAGCCCACCTGTCCTGCATATCTAAATAAAATTATTATATGGAAATATTTACTGCTTTAATGTTTCAAGTGCATACTCACAATTAGCTCTACCTTTCCTGGAAATTATAACATTTTCCAAATAAAACCTCATCTAATTCAGAGTAAGTGCTACCTATCAATTCTTAACGCTAAACGGTCAGTAAAAGAACATGACCATGCCTTACAATCCATTATTATCAAGGACCTCTGCCACACAAGCCTATGGCCTTCATCAGGACTCTGCCTGCCTTTGCAATTTAAATAACAGCTTCTAAAATATAATAGAAACATAGTGAAACTAAGTGCAGAAACATAAGATATTTCTTGTATTATAAAACACTATTTTATTAATGAATTGTGTCATTGATGCACTTAAAAAAAAGAAAGATTTTTAACCAAGCATAAAAGTGTAAACTCTAAATTAATCTGACACCAATTTAATGCTCCTTAGGAAAAGAGCACATCCGAAAATTTCAGAGTTTTAGCTTAGTTTTTGTTGTTGGTTTTAAAGCAAATTTCCTACATAGTAACAAACAACGTTTAGGATAAGATATCAGAATCTTAAGTGAAGATACAATAACTGTCAATACATTATCTACATGATGGAACACAGATAAGAAATATTTGAGTAAAATTAAAATAGACTTAATGCCTCGAATAAAAAAATGTAATGAGCAAAATAGTGCTAGTTGTAGACATTAAACTATCAAATGTGACCTACACAGTCGCCTGATTCACTACCTTCGTTTTCACCTATGAGGAAACAAAGACCTTAGGTTGCCCCACGTACGTGCCAGGTGATTAATCTCCTCAGTACCTGGTATAATGCTGGAGTAGGCACTCAAATATTCGTAAACAAATTCAGAATTCAGTTTTTCCAACGCACACTACCTTCCTAACCATGGATTCTAGTTAGTCAAAGTCTTACCATACTAAAGGAAAAATTACTGAATTTTTCTTCATTTTTACATCGAATGATCTACTTATAAAAAAATCAAATACCAAACTAATGCCCAGTATAGTAAGGATATGGGTGAAGGGAACTCTCTCTTTCATGGTCTCTTCAAATACATCAATATGGGGCCCAGTATGCACCAGATCATTAAATTTGTTATGACTAGTCAAAAGGAATAAAAATATATCAAATTTATACCGTCCTTCACACGAGATTCCTTTTGCAAGAGCATTTAATATTTAGTCTCATTAAAGAATCCATTTGGGTTTTTTCTGAGTCACCCAACTGGGATCATCCTAAGCACAGCAAGCTGAGAAAGGCAGAGATCGAAACACACACAAAGGTATTTTAATTACTACTGCAGATTACTTACAGTTTATGTGTTGGCTGCTCATTAGGATTCAGAACTCCTACTTCATTAACTTCATATGTCTTTTTAGTATGTGCAGATACAATTTTATCTCCTTTGGAAACCATTCCATCAAATAATGCTACATTGGCTATCACACCCCTATACTGGTCAAAGGTGGAATCAAATACCAAGGCTTTCAGAGGATTTTTGCGATGCACTTTGGGACTATTTAAAAATAAGTGAGAAGAAAATATATACATGATAAATTAAAATCTTAAGAAAATGCTTATTTTTAAATTCAAATGTTATGCTTAATTTATTCTAGTACCTGAAAAAGGCTGATAACTGACAGCCAAAATAAAAAGATCTTCCTATGAAGTATAATGCCTATTTTTATATTAGTTTTAATTCCATCTTGAATGTTAAATAATTTTTAAGATCTACAAAACTGATGAAATACATTGATTCAGTATTAAAACACAGTAATTGCTAATGTATTCAAGTCTCTATACTCAAGGATTATTAGGAAGAGATCCTTACCACCCTTGTTTGCTTTCTTTTTCTGTACTGTACTTGATTTCTATGTTTTACTAACAATAAAAAAAAGACTGTATTTTCACTCACAAGAATGATCTAATCTAAAATTACAGATCAGACCGATGGCCTTTGTACTGCTAAAGACAAACAGTAGAAAAACAGCAAAGTACTCACGGGGGTATTCTTTCAATGACTGCCTGAAGAACTCTTTCAACATTTGTTCCAAGTTTCGCAGAAATCTAAAAAGAATACACAAAAAAATAAGCATTTAAAGAGTATTTTTCTATTCAGGTGACTGAGCTTTATAATTAGAAAAAAGAATTCTAACAGTCATTAATTTGAAGAAAGCAGTAAAAAGAAGCACAAACCATATAATAACACTGACAAAACTCTTCCATTACCGTAGAGGAGTCTATGGTTCTTGGATTAAATTACAAAAGTATTCTGATTACGGTATGAAAGCAGTGGTCTAAGAGTTTTAAAAAAATCTGAGTAACAGTTACGACTCTGTATGCAATGTATGACTTTATATTTTTCCTAAACCTCAAGATTTTTGCATATAAAGAGAATAAATATACACAGATGGCACACATATAGTTATAAGGCATATTACTACTTTTGTTCTCGAGAGAGCAAGCGAGCCTGAAGACTCAAAAAAAAAAAAAAGGGCACGACTCACCTTTGTCATTATTAGTAACTGGATTGCCGCTGAAATCCTGATTTCAAAGCCCATTCCCTAAAAACTACCTATTAACCTTTAAGCTCTCTCTAGATCAGTTTCTCAAGTCAGCACTAAGCACGGTTTGGGGTGATAATTGTTTTAGGGACTGTTCTGTGCATTTTAGGATGTTTAACAGAATCTGCAGAACGTCATCAACCCACAAGACGACGGTAGCACCCATTCCCCAGAATGACAACGAAAATGTCTCCAGACGTTGCCAAATGGTTCCTAGGGGGCAAAACTACCCCCTAAGGAGAACCGCTGCTCTAGGCTCTAGTACCTTCTTTGCAAGGATCCTTTTAAGTTCCCGTGTCTACACCATTGAATAGACTACCTTTTCTCATTATCCATTAGCTCCCTGCCCCCTCCTTTCCCAGCTGAGACTCCAAGGTCCACTATTTATAATCACTCTGTTCAACCACTATCTATTCTCTCCCTATCTTAAGGTTGGTAAAACTCAATTGTGACTGCTTCCAACTATTTTTTGTCTTTTTCTTAAGGTTTTATTAATTTGAGAAGGGGAGGGGGGAGCAAGCGAGCACACGTGAAGAGAACAGAGGGAGAGGGAGAAGCAGACTCCCTGTGGAGCATGGAGCCCAAAGCGGGGCTCAATCCCAGGACCCTGAGATCATGACCTTAGCTGAAGGCAACTCCTAACTGAGCTACCCAGGCACCCCAACAATGTGTCTTTTTAGGCCTACAATATAATCAGAGGGTTCCACATTACTGAGAAAAATCAAGTAACTGGTCTGGCTCTTGTGAATTTATGACCACGCATCTCAGCATGTAGTTAAACTTCCAACTTCCCAGGATGCGTCCTATAGTAAATTCACATTATCATTCAGTAGGGCATTTCACGACACCTTCCTTTCAATCACACATTTTCTTTCCCCTTTGGCCAATTCACTCTTGGTTGATGACTCCACCTATTATTTCATTTAAGAAAACAGAAAATATCACAAACTCCCTTACCCAAAAGATATAAATACACTTGTATTTATATTCACAACCTCTTTGCTGTCTCCCATTACATTTGAAAATTATTCCTTCTCTGAATACTCAATCCTTCCACTTCCTATTCTAAATCCTACTGTGATCCTTCTCAAGTTCTTACTCATAACTACCCTCAAACTGGTAAGAACATAGTTTGGCTTCTGGACCTTATCTCTACACTTGTCCTTAGGAAATGATATTCATCTGTAAGGCCTCAACACCACATATATGGCTAATAACTCCTAAATATCTATCTCTGGCCCCACTCTCTACAGGAATGCCTGAATTGTAGATTTACAAGGTATCTCTACTTGGACGTCTAATAGACATTTCAAACCCATTACATCCGAAGCAAAGCTTTTGTCTTCTCCTGTATCTTCTCCTCATATCGGTATCAACTACTACTATCAACTACTTGCTTTAAATCCAAAGCTACCTCATTCTTTTGTCACTTCCTGACACGTAACCTACGAGCAAATCTATCCTATCTACGAATATATCCTATCTACGAATATTTGCCCACTTCTGCAACATCACCATCACATACTTAGCCACCTCCCCAGCCCCTGAGCTATTACTGCAAGCTGGCTTCCCCTAGCTCTTCTTACTCTTTCCTAATGAATTCTCTATAAAGCAACCTGAACGATCAATTTATTTTCCTCACTTGCTTTAAAATCCTTTATCTTAGAATAGTTTACAAACAGCAAGTCTCAGCATGACTTGATTCCTGCCTACCTCTACAAAGCCATCTTACCTAACTTGCCTCCTTTCTGTTCCTTAAACGTGCCAAACCTTGCCAAACATGCAAGCCTTTACACCTGCTCTTTCCTCCTCCTGGAATGTGTTTCCCCCAACTCTTCATTTCTTCAGTCTCAGTTCATCAGAGATGCCCTACCTAACATAATCTGCATCTGAGAAAAAAGGATTTTTTTCTACGATACTCCACCTAAAACACAATTTGTTGAATGAATTTTCTTAACACCTCTCTTAATAATTACTACACTTACTTCTTTCTTTACTTACTTAATGACTGCCTCCCTGAGGAGAATATAAACACAATGTTCAGGGGCTTCATCTATCCTGTTGATGCTGTGCGCCTAGCTGGCACATACCAGATTAGTATCTGAATGAATTTTATAAAGATGCATTAAAATCAGAATGTTAATTATACTTTAATATGACCCAAGTTATGAAACCATAATTCCAGGACTGCCTTATGAGGTTTCTCTTTATTATAAGAACCACTGAATTCTGTATGTATCTATCCCCAAGAAAAAAAAATACTGCTTTTTCAGTTACTACCATGTTGTATATAATCATCCATCGTGTTAAGGTTAAACAAACAAAAAACACTTCATCACCTCAAACTTGCTCCTTCAAAAGTCAAACGAGATGGAAAGTGGAAGGTGAACATTATACTGTTGCACTGACATACTTTCTATACAAGCACACAGCTACACAAGGCTCAGGCTATTCAACACCTACATCATCATTTGAAAGGTAAATAAAATCCAAATTTAAAATAGTACCAACTGTGATATAAATAAAAATTTATTGTTTCTTAAGATTATTACTGTAACAAGTTCTTTTGAAAAAAAAAAAAAAAAGCCTTGTCAATTCAAAAACAAATACATACAAATTCCTTTAAATTATTTTGAACCTGTTGTTTAAAGACAGTATTTCCAGGGGCACCCAGGTGACTTAGTTAGGCATCCAGCTCAGGTCATGATTTCAGGGTCCTGGGATGGAGTCCTGAGTGAGGCTCCTCGCTCAGCAGGGAGTAGGATTCTCTCTTCCCCTCCTTTCAGCCTCTCCCCTGCTCATGCGCACACTCTGTGTAAAATAAATCTGACTGAATGAATGAATGAATGAATGAATGGAGTAATTCCATGGAGGCAAAATAGTAACAAGCAATACTGTCATCAGCTGTAGAAGACCTGTTTCTTTGTCCTGACACATTTGCTAACTAGATCTGTAATCTTAGGCGATAAAATTTGTGAGCCTTAGTTCTTTTAAGTGGATCACAAGAATAATTCCTGTCTATCCTAACAAAGATTTCTGATGAAGATCAAATGAAATATTAGTAAAAACACCTTTGTAAAACTATGAAAACTTTATATACCAATGGGCCATCAAATACTATAAAATTTCACTGAGGCCAATCCCCGAGATTTTTTATTTTTTATTTTTTTATTTATTCATGAGAGACACAGAGAGAGAGGTAGACACAGGCAGAGGAAGAATCATGCTCCATGCAGGAGCCCAATGTGGGACCCGATCCCAGGATTCCGGGATCACACCCTGATCCAAAGGCAGATGCTCAACTGCTGAGCCACCCAGACATCCCAATCCCTGAGATTTTTTAAAAGTGTAAGTATGTCTTTAAAAAAAAAGGGTGGGATCCCGGGGTGGCGCAGCGGTTTGGCGCCTGCCTTTGGCCCAGGGCGCAATCCTGGAGACCCAGGATTGAATCCCACGTCGGGCTCCTGGTGCATGGAGCCTGCTTCTCCCTCTGCCTGTGTTTCTGCCTCTCTCTCTCTCTCTGTGACTATCATAAATAAATAAATTTAAAGAAAAAAATAAAATAAAATAAAATAAAATAAAATAAAATAAAATAAAATAAAATAAAATGGGTATTTTACCTTAATACATTCATTGCTTGGAATGTCAAACACTTTTTCAATTTGCTTTTCCACTCTTTCAGGATCAGCATTCTTCAGATCTATCTTAAAAAAAAAAAAATTCATTATGTGTTAATACAGTAAAAAAAAAGTACTACATATTGATAGTATTCAGAGATAGTTAAGAGCATACCTACGATAACTGATACCTCTATTTTTCTTTTCAAAAGTGTTAAGATAATCCAGACATAGGCAATATAATTTTAAGAAATACATCCACTGAAAAACAGAGGGCAATAAAAACAGAGCATGCAATAACTTTACGCAGCTGGCAACTCAAGGTAGTAAAAGAGTTCAATAACAATTTATCAACCAAGATCATATTAAACTGATTTTATAAATTAGATATAACTTATGACAGCAAACTGTCCTACCTATAAGCAACTTTGCATCTTTTAATCTTAACTCTAATAATGTAAACAAAATTCAACTGAATGGAATTCAGATTTTTTTTAAGTAGGCTCCACACCCAGCAGATCCCAACTCAGAACTTGAACTCACAACCCCGAGTCCAAGACCTGAGCTGAGATCGAGCTGGATGCTTCACCAACTGAGCCACCTAGCATCCTGCAAAGTGGATTTTTAAATTAAGACTGTTAATTTTAAAATATAAAAGTTAAGGTTTATCAACAGTGCTCAGCTTAGGACTTCACTGTTATGTTCCATGTGTTATACTATTTCCCCCCAATTAAGGGCTTTTTCTTTTCCTATATCTGTTTTAGTGTAATAAACGTACTTTGGCTGCCCTGCATGTTGTTCCTTTCCTCCACAAATAGCCCTCAATTATTCCATGTCAATCCAGGGAGATGGCCTTCTCAACTACATGTAAGGATATAGGAGATTGAGTTGCAATTCTATTATGTGCAATTCAAAGAAATAAATCCTACCAATATATTTAATATGCAGTTGAAGATTCCTCACATAAAAAATAGTATACTTAATAGTCAAACACTAAATTCACTTTTAGAAAGTAAAATACTAAATGGTATTATTGTCTCATTAGAATTACCTTGTTTATAACTGGAATTACCGACAGCTGTGCTTCAAAGGCAAGAAAGAAGTTTGCTACAGTTTGGGCTTGAATACCCTAGAAAAATCAAGACAAAGGTACCGATATGACCATTCTACCATCTATCACAAAAGCTAGGATTTAAAACCATTCCACACATCTTCACCAAAAGCAGAGGTATAAAAAAAGTATGGTATCTATACTCCCAGAAATCCGGATTGTTCCTTTTGAAAATTCCTTTCATATCAGGAAATATTACTGGAGACAAAAGACGTGAAACATGAGCCCTCAAGGTCATGAAAGCTTACTGAAGGACACAGTCATGTGATACGGTTCTTGGAGCCCCGTATCCAATGTACGTAAGGCAGACAATGACTGTTCCTCAGTTCCTTGAGGAGCAAGGAAGCTTTAATACAACAAATACCCTGGGTTTTGAATGAAAACTTTGTGAGAAAATGAAACATATCAAAGACTTACTTTAATAGTACATCACAGCTCTTATATCGTCATTGAACTGAATATGTTTTTATGGTTATCTTCACACCACAAAAGAACTTGGTAAGGTTACTGACATATTTCCTTAACGGTAATATTTCCCAAATCACCTTAAAATCACCCAAAATAACCTGCAAAATATTCATTTTCAAGTTCTGCTAAAAATTAATATTAAAACCCCAAATTAAGAGCTCCAAAAATTGAGGTTTTGGTGGGATGAATGTAGTATATACTCCAACAATCCCTTCATTCTCCTAGAAGATCAAAGTCTTTAAAATATGAACGAGTCAACCTCAGACTGCTTTAGTGCAATAAAATTGAAATCAACAGGACCAAAGCATATGATTTGGATTAATACAATACATCTTATTATTTTCAAACATAAAAAATCTATTTCCAAAATATATTTTTAAGAAAACCTCTTGAAACAACCGAATAGCACGTCACACCACATAAAATTGCAAGTACCTACCTCGTTTGCATCCACCACAAGTAAAACGCCCTGGCAAGCAGACAGTGACCTGGATACCTCGTAACTAAAATCAACATGGCCCTGAAGAACAGAAAATATCCATACGTCTCAAGTGAGCTGTATTTTTTTTTAAGATTTTTTTTTTTATTTATTTATTCATGAGAGACACAGAGAGGCAGAGACACAGGGAGAGGGAGAAGCAGGCTCCGTGCAGGGAGCCCGACGTGGGACTTGATCCCGGGTCTCCAGGATCCTGCCCTGGGAGGAAGGCAGACGCTAAACTGCTGAGCCACCAGGGCTGCCCATGAGCTGTAATTTTTTAGGGAGGGGAATTACGGTCAATCTACTGATTCCCCTTGATAAAAAATTAATACCTTTTTTTTTAGCCTATACTTGTGAAACAACTGACTCAAACATAAAAACACTGAGAAAACCAAAAGCAAAATGTTTAACGCTCAGTTCAAAAACTGAACAGGGATTTGTTTGCAGAATCAATCCAAGGCTGACTCAACAACAGAGACAAAATATTACACGTACCGGGGTATCGATGAGATTTAGAAGGTACTGCTTTCCTTCACAATTATAGAAAAGAGACGCTGTCTGTGCTTTAACAGTGATTCCTCTTTCTCGTTCCACTTGCAATTTATCAAGAACCTGTTTATTATTTTTTGTTTTATCAATTGTGCCTACAAGGAGAAAAACACTTACTGAAATTTCTATGGGCTTTAAAAAAAAAAAAAAGACACAACACTGCATATAAAATATAAAATCAGAACCAAAATTTTAAAAGGCACAGTAAACATGATGATTAAGCACTCGTGGCCATCAATTAACTATAGAACATAAAATGAAAATACCTGTTAGTTCCAGGAGCCGGTCAGCTAAAGTACTTTTGCCATGATCCACATGCGCAATAATGCTGAAATTTCTGGTATTTTCAACAGAGAATCTAGACATGTCGATTTTTTCCTAGAAAGGGAAGAAAAATAAAACATTTATGAGCATACATTTTGCAGGATATGAAACAAGTATACCAATTCCAAGAACATTCCTATAGTCTTCTTGGAATAATTTTATTTATAGGGCAGCCGGGGGGACTCGGCGGTTCAGCGTCAGCCTTGGGCTCAGGGCGTGACCCCGGGTCCCGGGATCGAGTCCTGCGTCAGGCTCCCTGCAGGGAGCCTGCTTCTCCCTCTGCCTGGGTCTCGGTCTCTGCCTCTCTCTCTCTCTCTTTCAGGAATAAATAAAATCTTAGAAAAAAAAAAAAAAAGTAACTCCAGATTTTTAGTTGTAGGCATCCTCTTTAGGGTTTTACGAGGACCCACGCCCACGACTACTCCTGGGCCCGGCGTCACGAACTGCTCGCCTCCCTCGCCGGCGCCAGGCCTCGAGATGCCCCGGAACAGCGCGAAGCACACCCCGGCCCAGCCCGCGCTGCCCACGCCCTGGACGCCGTCGGCCGCCTCCAGACACTGAGCATGGAAGCCACAGGACAGCGGAATCCCGGCAGGCTTCTAGGAGGCGGCGAAGCCTGCCAGGCCCCGCCCCCGCGCAGGCCCCCCGCCCCCGCGCGCGCAGCCCCGCCCCCGCCCGCCCCGAGCGCAGGCCCCGCCCCCCGGCAGATCCTGCCCCCCGCCGAGAGACGCCCCCCCCCCCGTCGCGCCTGCGCAACGAACGCCGCCCCGCTCCGAGGCGGGGGCGCGCGGGGCTCACCCTGCGGTCGGCCAGGCCGTCGGGGCTGCGCGGGGTCCCGGCCGCGGCAGCAGCCGCCCGGGTGGGCACGGGGCCGGACTCCGGGGGCCCCCGCCGTGCGGCCGCCGCGGCCCACAGCCTGAGCGCGCGCCCGTGCCACCGGCCGCGCCCCGCGGGCGTCCACATGCTGCGCGCTCCCGGGGCCTCAGGGGCGGGTCTCCACGCGGCTCGCCGCCATCGCGCGCCCGTTCGCCCCGGTTAAGGTCCGGCGGGTCCCGGCGCGTCACGGGAGACGCCGCGCGGCTCCCGGCGTCGGCACGTCGCACGCGTGGTGACGTCAGCGCGCCCGCCCTCGAGGCCGCTCGGAAGGCGGGGCGGAGCGCTCGGGCCGGCCGCGGCGCGGGGAGTCGGCTTCGCCCGGGGCGGAGAGGGCAGCGCGGCTCCGAGGCCCGAGGCCGGGGTCCTGCGTCCGGGAGGGCCCGAGCTGGGGTGCGCCCCGCGGAAGGCGGCCGAGCCTGCCCGCCAGCTCCCGCCCGGCTCCCGGCTCCCGGCCCCTCGGCCTCGGCGTCCGGGACACTGGCCTCCGCCGGGATGGAGAGTGCGAGGCCCCGGGGTCGAGCCCCGCGTCGGGCTCCCTGCAGGGAGCGTGGAGCCTGCACCTCCCTCTGCCTCGGTCTCTGCCTCTCTCGCTCTGAATAAATCAATTAAAAAAAATAAATGAAGTGCGGAGGCCGGCGTAGCGCGTCAGTGCCGGCCCCTCCCGACGTCCCCACGCGGTCCCCCCATGTGTCCCACGTCGTCCCCGTCGACGTCCCCGCGCCGGTGGGTGACAGTCCCCTCAACATCCCCATGACGTCCGCACGTCGTCTCTCTCGACATCCCCGTGACGTCCCCATGACGTCCCCACGCTGTCCTCATGACGTCCCTGTCGACGTCCCCCCGCCGGTGGCTGACAGCCCCCTGGACAGCCCTCATGACGTCCCCCCGCCGGTGGGTGACAGTCCCCTCAACATCCCCATGACGTCCGCACGTCGTCTCTCTCGACATCCCCGTGACGTCCCCACGCTGTCCCCCTCGACGTCCCTGTCGACGTCCCCCCGCCGGTGGCTGACAGCCCCCTGGACAGCCCCCATGACGTCCCCCCGCCGGTGGGTGACAGTCCCCTCAACATCCCCATGACGTCCGCACGTCGTCTCTCTCGACGTCCCCATGACGTCCCCACGCTGTCCCCCTCGACGTCCCTGTCGACGTCCCCCCGCCGATGGCTGACAGTCCCCTGGACAGCCCCCATGACGTCCCCCCGCCGGTGGGTGACAGTCCCCTCAACATCCCCATGACGTCCGCACGTCGTCACTCTCGACATCCCCGTGACGTCCCCACGCTGTCCCCCTCGACGTCCCCATGACGTCCCCACGACGTCCCCCTCGACATCCCCATGACGTCCCCCCGCGGGTGGGTGACAGTCCCCTCAACACTCCATGACGTCCCCCACGACGTCCCCCGCGGACCCCCCGTCCCCCTTGCTCTTCTCTGGACCGTGGAAAGGTGGGTGCAGACCGACGGGGCAGCAGCCGAGCGGAGCCCAGGGTCGCGCTGGGTCCCGGCCGCCGTCGGGCTGCGGTCACTGCCGTCCCGGCCCCGCCGATGCCTGCCGTCGCCTCTGCCCCGGGGCCCGCGTCACAGCGGCCTGAAGGGACAACGTCATCCACGGGCTCCAGCAGTGACGCACGGGCAGACCGCAGCGGTCAGGGTCCTCCCCGGTTCACACGCACTGCCGCCACACACTCGGGGGTTCTTTACCGGAAATTACCTTTTATGCGTAATTTATTTATTTTTTTTTAAAAAAAGCTCTTATTTATTCATGAGAGAGGCAGAGACACAGACAGAGGGAGGAGCAGGCTCCATGCAGGGAGCCCGACGCGGGACTCGATCCCGGGACCCCGGGGTCATGACCTGGGCTGAAGGCAGGTGCATTTATTTTTTTTTAATTAAATTAAATTAAATTAAATTTTACTTTATTTTTTATTTTATTTTTTATTTTATTTTATTTATTTTTTATTTTATTATTTTTTATTTTTATTTTTTTATCTTTTTTTGGAGTTCTATTTGGCAACACACAGCATAACACCAACGTGATTTAAGAGAAAGATTTGCATCACCACCGTAAGTCGAAAAAGCATCACGAGCTGTCATACGTTAAAAGTTAGTGGAATCAATAAATTTTAAAAAAAATGGGATTCGATGCTAAGATTTGAAAGCATTGACGGATGTCTTGATGAAAAGCGTGGAGCAGTGGAGCCCCTGAGCGGCTGGGACAGCTGCGCATCTGCTTTGGGCGCAGGCTGGGAGGTGGCCCTGCCAACAGGGTCGGGCTCCAGTCCCCTCCTGCCTGTCCCCCCCGTTCATGCTCACACCATGGACACTTTCCCTCTCCCTCTCTCTCTTCTCAAAAAAATAAAACAAAAAACATAGATTAACAGGCATCAGACAAAAATTTAAAAACATTGCACCAAAGATTTTTGGCCTTGACCTCATTAGCAGCTTTGAAATAAAATGGAGAGCAGAAATTTCCCTGCAGGACTGAGTGCCCTTGATGCCATGCTTCTGTCCCCTGAAACCACCTCGTTATTTCCATCAGTCCCACACTTCTGTCGCCCTACAGGGTCTTACCTGGCCGACGCTGAATTCCCAAACCCACAGATGAGACGTGCACTCAGTAGAAAAACGTACGTAATTTATTTTATTATTTTATTTTATTCTTAGGATTTTATTTATTTATTCATGAGAGATACAGAGAGAGGGAGAGAAGCAGAGACACAGGCAGAGGGAGAAGCAGGCTCCATGCAGGGAGCCCAACGCGGGACTCGATCCCGGGTCTCCAGGATCACACCCTGGGCTGAAGGCGGCGCTAAACCACTGAGCCACCAGGGCTGCCCCGTAATTTATTTTAAAAGAAAAATTTGCATCGTCCCTGTAAGCTGAAAAAGCATCAGCGAGCGTTCCTTCGTCAGATACTGTCCTGGATCCGGAAACGCAAAGAAAACGGAGCAAATTGTCTGAAATCACACAAAAAGGTGAATGGAAAAAGGCTGCATCTAAAACCAAAGCTGAACCCTTTGCGATGATCTTCACCAGCGCAGGTTTATTTAGTGTTCAGTCTGGGAAGGAAGGAGAGGTTGAGCCACCAGAGTTTCTTTCCTTTTTTTTTTTTTTTTTCTAATTTTTTTTTGCCACCAGAGTTTCAAGGTGCAGGTGTGCCTCCCTAAGGCCCTTGAAGGATGACAAGTTTTGCTCAAGGAGCCAAGCAGGGCCTGACCAAGCAGAGGAACCACAGGTGAGGTGACGGCTCACCGTGTCCCAGGACGACCCTGCACGCTCCTGCCTGCCACGCTTGATGCTTCCTGCCACCTGCTGGCGCAGGGGCTCCTGTGGCCGTTCCCGCACAGACCTCGGAGGAGAAGGCGGCTCTCTAAGTAACTGCCCACAGTTAGTGACCAGGTGGCTGGGAACCCAAGCAGTGCGGCTCCAGCGTCCCCACCTGTAACCCTCCCGTTCAAGTCCGCTGGGCAAGGGCAAAGGGGTACAAACCTAGGGTTACTTGTCCGTTAATGGTCAGTGGAGGCAAATGGGCAAGATCCGGGACAGGTACACTTCACTCGAGGCAGGGATTCCCGAAGAGCTCATGTGATTGAAAACTCCCAGAAATCGAGAATCGTGTCCCCCACCCCCACCCCCGGCCCCATGAATCACCGTGTAGTAGGGAAGTTACCGCCTTACACGCCGCATCAATCCACAGCAGCCCTATTTGCATGTATCGTGTGTATGAATATTAGGACATCGGAAGGGCTTGCAGGTGGCCGGGGCTGCTCTAACAGAGGGCCACAGGCTGCGTGGCTTCAGCATTTATCTTCCCACAGCTGTGGAGTCTAGAGGGCCAAGACCAAGGTGTCAGCGGGGCTGGTTTCTCCCGAGGCCTCTCTCCTTGGCTAGTAGGTGATTGTCCCCTCCCTGTGTCTCTATATGATCTTCCCTCTGTGCTCGTGTCCTAGGCCCCTTTTACAAGCACGTGAGTCATTTTAGGTTTGGGGCAGCCCCAGAAACCTCACTCTAAGCCAGGCACCTCTTTAGAGACCTCATCTTCAAATACAGCCGTGTTCTGAAGCGTCCGGGGGTTAGGAGCACCAATATGAATTTGGAGCGGGGCGGGGGACACAATGTAGCCCATAAGGAAGTGAATGATAAATAAAAATACATAAAACGATTTTAGCACCTCTAAGATTGTCTCAAAGTTGGTCACGGAGCATTTTAACACTAGCATACTCTCAATAATGTTTAACGTTACAGTAGTGCTCACAAGGACGTGAACAAATTGATAAGCAGCACACGCGTGGATGTTAACTGAGGGTCTCCAGGACTGCTGTTAGGCAGCTAGAGTGCTGCCACCACGTGTCTCCAGTGGAAAATACAGCTTAGAATTCATTTTCTTTTCTTTTTTTTTTTAGAATTCATTTTTTTTCTTTTTTTTAGATTTTAATTTTTATTTTTGGAATTAATTTTCTAAGTCTGTTTTTAAAATCTGCAATTTGGGACTTAGGGACACCTGGGTGGCTCAGCAGTGGAGCATCTGCCTTCGGCCCAGGGTGTGACCCCAGGAGCCCGAGATCAAATCCCGCGTCGGGCTCCCTGCATGCAGCCTGCTTCTCCCTCTGCCTGTGTTTCTGCCTCTCTCTGTGTGTCTCTCATGAATAAATAAATACAATCTTTTAAAAAAATAAAATCTGGGATTGTTTTCAGAGTTTCATGTATTTTCAGGTGAGGGCTGCACAGATATTTTTGTATCACAAAGCAGAAGGTACGTGGAGAAAGAAGGAGAAAAGTGGCAGGAGTTCTATATGAAGGAAGCAGTTTCAGTCAAGTCTGTGAAGAGCCTTGAACAGGGTCTTGCTAGTTGACATCTCACCAGTGTCCTGTGCGGAAGCTATCGTACTGTACGCAAGGAAATAACGCATCCGGTTTTTGTCTTAGGGAGCCTGCTCTAACGATGGTGTGTAAAGAGGTAGAAGAGGAACACAGGAGAAGTGACGAGGCAGAAATGGAGCCAAAAGAGGAGAGGCTCCTATTTTTCTCCCCTAGATGACACACAGTAAGGGCCTGAATGAGTTGCTGGCAGAGAAGAGGGATGAAAGAGTAATTGGTAGATATTTTGGAGCTACAATTAGGATTAATTGGATGTAAGAGGGAGGAAGGAGTCCAGGAGAACTTCCTATTTTCTAGCTTTGATA